TGGCGGGTATGCCCCGGCCTCAGCTGAACCACCGCGCAGGGAAGTCGCAACAAGTGACCCGGCAGGGCAAGGCTGTGAAGGGCAGCTGGGCCTCCGTCTGTTGGGACGAAGAGGCCGAGAGCAAACATGATAGGCCAGGTGCTGCTGAGCAGATCAGCCCCGGGTGGCGTAGGGAGGCTCCTGGGATCGGTCCCCTGAGGCCTGTCTGGTGCTTCCGAAGCATCCACTGTAACCCAGGAGGTGGCTAGGAGAGGGGTCGTGAGAGAAAAGTGTGAGCAGAGACCCAGGCAGGGGAGTGGCTGGCTTGTTGAGGGAGCTGGGACCGAGCGTGTTAGTAGCCCTAGGTAGTGAGACAGATGGATCGATCGCTGTGCTTTGGTAAAATTTAACTGTTTAGGAAGTTAGAGATTAAAAAACAGAGGGGAGTTTCGCTGTGAGTTCGAGACCAGCTACATAGTGAGTTCAAAATAGACCCTGTCTCAAGAAGAAGAAGAAAAAAAAAGGAGTTTGTTGGTGTACCCCTATGATCCCTGAACTCCGCGAGTGGAAATAAGAAAGGTTAAGAGACACGGGTAACTCTTGGCTGCATAGTGAGTTCAAAGCCAGCCCGGACTACATGAGACGCTGTCTCACAAAAAGAAAACAAGAAATTAGAAATTTGTTCAGCCCTTTTTATCAGTGATAATTGACCATCCTAAAGAAAGTCTGACACACAGCCGTCCATTATCCACTGTATACAGCAAAACCCTTCGGAGATGCACAGTCTCTTAAAGTTAAGAGCTTGAGATGAGCTTCAATATTTTTCTAATACAGAGATACATTAAAATAATATACTTTGTGAGACAGCATCTCACGGTAAAACCCAGCCTGCCCTGGCACACCTAATCCTCCTGCCTTAGCTTCCCCAGTGCTTGGATTATAGGCTTAGGCTGCTGAGCCCAGCTCTATTATATTTAAAGCAATACCATCTGAATACCAGGTGTGTAAAGGAGAGGGATGCCGAGAGAACAGCAAGATTTCCAGCCTGTGGATGCAGCCTGCACTGCACTGTTCAGCTCCACCGGCCCTGCTCTGCCCACCCCACCCCCCATTCCTCTTCAGGGTTTCTTCCACATCCATCTGCCTATGATGTCTGGGCACCTGGGGGTGGTGAGAGTAAATAGCAAGCAGTATGCCTTCCCACAAAAAGTTCAGAGTGTGGTATCTTTTATTAAAGACCAAAATAGTTACTGGTCAGGCAAGGACAACCTTATTGTTTTATAGCAGTCAAGGGAGTCCATGAAGTTAGGATTTAAGATACTTGTTAAGAGAGGTCTGGGTGAGCTAGTTACAAGATGTGGAGGATTTGGTTTAAGATAGTCTTTCAGAGAGAGGACTTGACTGGGAATGAGTGATGTAACAGTTGAGGATGGGAAAGGGGAGAATTTTGAAAGAAGCCTAAAAGAGTGTAATGTTGGGTAAACCCAGTAATCTTGCTGAGGAAGGAGTGGGGGCTGTTTACCTGGATGAGTTTGGTCACTGTTAATAGCCTTCCAAAAAAAAAAAAAAAAAAAGGCTTTGAGGAAGTCCCTGCCTGAAAGTGCAATAAAATATTTGCAAATTCATCTTCCTGGGTGAGAATTTCTTGAAATTTGTCATGCGTACAAACCAGGTGTGGTGAACAAACGCTTGCCATCACAGCACTCTGCAGGCTGAGACAGGAGAATGTTGAGCTGAGGTCAACCCTTAGGGTTCATAAGATTAGTCTGCAAGGCAAGCAATCAGGCAAAGAGAGGAGAATGGGGAGTGAAAAGTGACCAAAATTCATTATTTACATGTGTGAAGTTGTCAAAGAAATTTCAGATAAAGATCATGTTTATATGCACAGCTGAATTGCATTCACATTAATACAGCTGGGCTTAGTTCTTAATCCTGTTGTATGAGTGTAAACAGTCCAGTTCCACTGAAGTTTTGTTTTGAAGGGGGTTATTTTGAAACCAGATCTGTCTGGGAGGCCCTAACTGGCCTCAAATTGTTGATCGTTCACCTCAACCTCCCTGGTGCTCCTCCACACCTCCACACACAGCTGGTCCAAGCAGTTTTTGAAGCTGTACATGACAATCCTTTAATAAATAGGGAGATCATTTTTGTGGGTCATGACCAGCAGATTTGATTACCAGAACAGCAAAAAGCTGAAAAAGAGAACACCCCTTACAACAAAAGGGGAAAGTAACAGCGAGACTTTTCAGCTCTGCTACATGTCAGCAACTCAAAATACCACCAAACATGAGCCATGCCATCATTTTATATACTGCTAAGATAAAAACCAGGGCCTGGGGGCTGAAGAGATGGCGCAGTGGTAAAGAGCCCTGTGTGCTCTTCCAGAGGACCCAGATTCAATTCCTGGCACCCACTTGGCAGCTCACAACCATCTGTAACTCTAGTTCCAGGGGATCCAACACTCTCTTTGGGCCCATGGTGCACACAGACACATATGCAGAATATCCATATCCATAAAATTAAATCTTGCCAGTTGTCGATGATGCACACCTTTTATCCCAGCACTGGGGAGACAGAGGCAAGAGGAACTCTGACCTGCACAGAGAAACCCTGTCTCAAAAAAAAACAAAAAAAAGTTTAAAAAAACTCAAAAGATAATTTAAGAGAGAAAATAGCACTAGGAATTTTGAATAAAGTTTCAAGGTAGTAAAAAAAATCAGAGCAATAGAGAAATGGTTCAGAGGTTAAGAGCACAGGTTGCTTTTCCAGAGGACCAGGGTTTGATTCCCAGCACCCACATGGGTATTCACAACTATCTGTAACTCCAGTTCCAGGGGTTACATCATCACCCTTTGGCCACCACAGGCACCAGGAATGTATATGATGCACAAATACACATGCAGCCAAAATATCCTTATACTTTTTTTAAAAGAATGTCATCACAGCTAGACAGGCCTTTAATCCCAGTACCAAGTAAGCAGAAGCAGGTAGATCTCTTTGAATTCTAGGCCAGCCTGGTCTACACAGCAAGTTCCAGGGCAGCCAAGGCTACACAGTGAGACTCTGCCTCAAAGAAGCAATAATAAAATCTTACCATTTTATGTTCATTGCTATGTTCTGGTTTCAGAGCATTGAAACAGAAGGCATATACAGGTGTGCATATGGGATCACAGCGTGAAATGAATTTCTGATTTTTGCTCATTATTGCTAGGAACATTTGAAAGCCATGGTTGTGGTGGAAGTGTGCAGGAGAGCTTGAACATGGCTAAAGGAGGCAGAACGCAAGCATTTTCTGAGATGCAATGGACTACCTTCACAAGTTGAGCTGTAATGGAAGGAGCAGGTAATGAGAGCTGGGGACATCAGGGAAAGCTCAACTGGAAGAGAGCATTTTACCTGGCCTCAACTTGATGGGGCAGTAGCCAGGCAAAAGATACCCCCAATGAAAGAACAGAATGTAAGAAGGCATGAGCCTACAGACCACAGTGGAGAACCAAAGTGCAACAGACATGAGAAAGCTGGCACCAGATGGAGAAAAAGGCTTTGATCGTCCTGCCAACAGTTCATGATGATGACATCAGGCCAGGAACGTAGGTGATGCAATTAATTGTCAAAGATGGTGACGATGATGATGCCAATGTATGTGTGATGCTACCCATGGACCCCCAGGCTTCTGAATACTAAGCAGGCCTTCTGCTACTAAACTACAGCCCCAGCCTGCACCTAGTTCTTTGAATTGAAATGGTTGACATCAATAAGACCCAAGCCCCTGAGAGGGTAGGAGAGGCTATTGTTTCTTCCCAACTTACCCTATTCTGCTAATGGTGGATGCTCAGAAAAGCCAGACACAACTTAATTCTCTGTCATCCTGGCTTTCCTAATAATTCTTGTTTGGAAGTCCAGCTGGTGAGACAAAGGAGCATGGTGTGGACAGAGGGGATAGAGAGTGTACTTGCATTGTATCTTACCACTCCCCCCCCCCCCCAAGCGCATTCTCCAGGCCCACAAGCACTGATTTCTGGTAGAACCACAGGCATCAGAGTTCACACTCTGCATATGAGTGAGTAAGGGAGCTGATAGCTCCCAGACGCTGTGCTTTCCAGTAAAACCAGAACTTGAAACACAAGCCATGCACTCTGAGATTCACAAGACTGAAATGTGGCAACATGGCCACTCTTGCTTTGTTTCCTGTGCTAGCACCTGTCCTGAGGACACTTCTAACCAGTCCCTCTTTACGCTTCGGAGATTCTTGGTAGAATGTGTGTTATCAAGAGGCAAAACAATAAGGTCGAGTAAGTTTTATGCAGATTTCTGGCTTCCCTGGTCAGAATGAAACAAAAATGTTTGAGCCCTGAGACAGAAACTGGGACACTTTGGTGGGTACATGCAAAAGTTAAGTGTTTGTGGTTACATGTAACCTTTTTCTTCAGCATCATATTAACAAATTGAAACAAAAGGAAGACTTTTATGTTGAGTACATTTAGCAGCATTTCTTTTTCTTTTGATTACAAGCATTGACTACCACATCCAGTTTAGTGTCTCTTTTTATGCTTTCTGAACAGCGGGCTTCAGAAATTACCAGCATTGCTAGGAAACCACTGCCCATGGCATCTTCCCAGCCTCTAAAGGAGGTGGATCAAAGAAAGACTCCCCACTTACTGGCACTCCCCTTACTTCCTGAGCAAGCCGGAAGAGACTAGCTCTGTTCTCTCTGGAGGATCCAAGGCTGCCTATAAGCCAGCTGCCACACTTGAGGCACACTCCCTGTAGTGACCACACTTGAGACACACTCCCTGTAGTGACCATAATTGGACTTCATTATTCCAGGAGTTAGGTGGGAAAGAAAACAAATTGGTATTTATAACATGGTGTCTGTGGGGGACACAAATTAGAAATCAACTTTTTGTTTGTTTTGTTTTGTTTTTTGTTTTTCCAGACAGGGTTTCTCTGTGACTTTGGAGGCTGTCCTGGAACTAGCTCTTGTAGACCAGGCTGGTCTCGAACTCACAGAGATCCACCTGCCTCTGCCTCCCGAGTGCTGGGATTAAAGGTGTGCACCACCAACTCTTAAGAACCCATTACAGTAACAGACAAGGACTGTCTTCCAAGTTCAGAAATACCAGCACTGTCAAAAAGGATTCAAAACTGGGGCAGATACATGTTAACACAAAGTTCTGTTTGTTTGTTTGTTTTTGTTTTTTTCGAGGCAGGGTTTCTCTGTGTAGCTTTGGAGCCTATCCTGGCACTCGCTCTGGAGACCAGGCTGGCCTCAAACTCACAGAGATCCGCCTGCCTCTGCCTCTCGAGTGCTGGGATTAAAGGCATGCACCATCAACGCCCGGCTAACACAAAGTTCTTAACAGTGATAACTTCACTCTATCCCCTGGGAAGAGTCCAGCCCTCTGGAGTTGCAGCTTAAAGAACCTGCTGCGCCCTATGTGGACAGTCTCTGGAGACCAGTACTGGCAAGGCCGTGTTTGACTAAACAGATGGTAATCCATTAAGAACACAGAAATGACTGTGCTGAGTGGAACCCAAGATTCAGCCTGTCTGGTATTCTCTGGCTGTGTGCATAAAACTTCAGGTTTGACTCACTGACGCTGGTGTTGGCTGTAGTAGTCATTTGGTAAGTATTGAAAATTAAGTATTTTGAATATTACTCTTGCCAGCTACTGCCCAAATTTAGGGACTTGGCAGCAAGTAGTTTTACCACAGAGCCATCTTGCCAGCCCTTCCTCAGTTTTTCACGGTTGTAACAGAGTACCTGGCATAAGTCATGGCATGTTATTTTAGCTTATGGTTTCTAAGGTTCAATGGCCATCTGACTATTGCTATGGGGCTTTGAGGGGCAGAATGAGGAAGACAGGGACAAGATAGACCCTTGTAGTACCACTCCCATCCTCAGTGACCTACCCCTTCTGACTAGACCCCATTTCTAAGGTTTCTAGCATATTACACCCCCTAGCACCATCTAATATTTTTTGCTCTCTCAGTGGGTAACTCTGTTGACATCAGAACCCTCAGGGTCTAGTCATGTTCCAAAGCCTGCAGAACATGAGCTGAACATTCCCCATCCACACTGTCATGGGGATCTGCCTGGTTATTTCACCATCCTGGTGAATTGTCAGATCCTCTCAAGGTTTCCCAGAAGAACTCAATGTCTGAGTCTGAGTAATGCTTCATTTCTGTCTTGGACAAAATAATGCATTCAACTGTGTTCTGCCTTCTTAGGAAAGAGGCTGCCGTGTGGCTTCAGCGAACAGTCAACTCTAACTCAGGTTCTCTTCTTGGAACAAAGCATGGCTTCCAGCTCATCTGGTGCTCACTTCATACTAACGGCCTAAAAGAATTGTTCCAAACAGTGCAAAATGGAACTTATTTGCCATCCTCCTGCCCACTCACATGGCTTGTGCAATGTACCTTTCTTCATCTGCTTAGAGTTTATTATTGTGCTGAGAGCTGCAGGACATTTTCAGCCCAGTGACTTCTCCTCATTTTCAGTCTCTGAGAGTCCCATGCCCTCCAGCAGCAGTGATTCGTGAGAGCTCCCCTCAGGAAGCACCAGGAGCGGCTGGTATCCATCTGGTGTCCTGATACCAACAGCAGTCACCAGGCCTGGGGATTGGCTCCACTTCTGCCCCTTAGCTGTTTGACTCCAGGCAAGTAATTTCATCTCAGGACAGTAGAAAAGAGCACCATCTCTCTTCTCCTGCAGAGCCATTCTGAGGGCTTCATAAAGGTGTTCAAGTCTCCAACCGGTCTATTCTCCCCACATGGCTTCCTGAAGTTGGCCTGGTCTCCCTCCACTCGCTGCATTCATTCGACAGTTACTCTTTGAGTGCCTACTTTATCTGAGGCCGAACATTTTCCCAGAGCTGGGGATTCAGTTCTGTGGCCTAGCACCTGCCCAACATACATGTGGTCTGGGTTGGATGCCCAACAACAGGAAGGGCAGATAGAACAACTCTCTCCAAACCTTCTGGGTAACTTAGTTGGGAAGTTGTTGTTTGCAATGCATGTCTAATGCATCAGTTGATAGAGACAGTTTTAAAGCATGGAATGCGTTGTTTTGCACTTAATTACTTCTCAAAGGCATGATGAAATAGTGAGGCCTGACACATGCCCAAGCACATCGCTCAGGGACAAAGGGCCAAGCAGTTACCTGTATCTCTCCCTGGAAAGAAGCTATGCTTTCTGCTCCCCGGGAAGCAAGTATGCCTTCTACTTTCGGCCAGGAGAGGTAGAAGAAAGGTCAGGACAGATAGGGCTAAGAAGACCAGGAGAAGTGCACAACGGTGATACCAAGGTGGCTGGTAACTTTGCCATCCCCAGCATCCAGTACCATCACACATATGTTCATTTATACAAAAGCAGCATTCATGCTCCATAGTTTAGCCTGGGGTCAGTTCAAGCAAAGAAAAATTTCTTCTAAGCTTAGAAGCCTTTGTTGAAGGATTACAGATTGCACTTCTGAAGCAAAGACAGAAGGCTAAATATCCTTGGGGGGAAACAGAAAGGAAACATTTAAAAAATGACTTAGCCAGACAGCAAGACATGCAAGAATGAGAAAGAAGAAAATAAATGGCTCCTTCCTGCCTCCCTCTGTGACTCAGAGATAACCCCTAAAAATAGTCACCGTCCCAGTGTGGGGAAGCTGAGGAAGACTCATCTTTGAAAGTTAGATGATGGCTGAGGAAGGGAAGGAACAAAAGGAAGGAGGTGGGAACTAGATTTGATTTTTTTTTTTTTTTTTTTTTTTTTTTTGCCAGCAGAGGGGTGGTGGTGTTTTTTGAGACAGGACCTCAGTATGTGACCTAGACTAGTCTCAAACTTCAGCTCTTCCTGCCTTACCTCAATGCAGGGATTACACTGTACACCGGCACCCCTGGCTGGGAAACAGCAACTGTGCGTGCCAAACAAGGGTGCTCCCACCCATCTGTACCCCCAGCCTTCTTTTTAAACAGATTTTCTAATAAGTTGCCCAGGCTAGCCTTGAACTTGTGACTACCCCTTCTTCAGCCTCCAAAGTAAATGAGATTCCAGGCCTGAGTCTCTTGGGCCAGTGGAAACAGTGTTTGTGGTGCAGGGGACGAATCCTGACTTCTCTCATGATTGGCAAGAGCTCTTACCGCTGAGCTCTGCATCAGCTCAGGGCCAGTAATACAGTGTGGAAATTTAAAAGACTAACATACTCCAAGGCAAGGCACAACTGATGGTCCATCTAGTGAAATCAGTGTTCCTACTCTTACCCCACTATTTGTTTAAATATGGGCAGTGGCCAGAAAAGGGTGTTGAATCCTTTGGAACTGAGGTTATTGACAGTTGTGAGCCACCATATGGGTGCAGGAAATCTATGCTGACTGGTTTTATGTCAACTTGACTCAAGCTAGTCACTGGAGAGGAGGGAGCCTCAATTGAGAAAATGCCTCAGTAAAATTGGGCTATAGGCAGGCCTTAGGGCATTTCTTAATTAGCGGTTGATGGGGGAGGAACCCCTTGTGGGTGGTATAATGCTGGGCTAGTGGTCCTAGGTTTTATAACAGTAGTTCTTAACCTTCCTAATACGACCCTTTAATACAGTTCTTCATGTTGTGGTAACCCCCAGCCATAAAATTATTTTCATTGCTGCTTCATAACTGTAATTTTGCTACAGTTATGAATCAAAATATATCTGTATTTTCTGATGGTATTAGGTGATCCCCATGAAAGGGTTGTTTGACCCAAAAGGGTCACCGCCCACAGGTTGAGAACCACAGTTCTATAAGAAAGCAGGTTGAGCAAGCCTTGGGGAGCAAGTCAATAAGCAGCATCCCCTGTGGTCTCTGCATCATCTGGAGCTCCTGCCATGCTTGAGTTCCTGTCCTTTCTTTGATGACGAACAGTTTTGTAGAAGCATAAGCCAAATAAACCCTTTCCTCCCCAAATTGCTTTTGGTCATGGGGTTACAACACAGTTCTAGAAACCATAAATAAGACAGAATTGAACCCAAGCCCTCCAGATAAGCAGCCAGTGCTCCTAACCACTGAACCATCTCTCCAACCTTTCACCCCATTATTTGTAAGACTTACACATTTTATTGCCTTAGGAAGGATGAAGCTCAAAACTTGCTGTTTCAGGCTTGTCCCCCACTGAATCTCCTAGAGATCCATGACTTACAAACTCAACTGGATTTTCATCTTTTCAACTTTCCCATGTCTCTTCAGTTATTCTGTATTCTTTTTGGAAAAGCTTTTTATTTTTAATATTTCAGACTTAGAAAAAGGTTGTACACCTGGGCTAGGTATGTGACTTACTAGTGGAGTATTTGTCTAACATAGGAGAAGCACTGAGTTCAATTCATAGTATTGTAAAAACACAAAAAGGGCCTGGGCAGTGGTGGTGCATGCCTTTAATTCCAGCACTCAGGAGGTAGAGGCAGGTGGATCTTGGTGTGTTCAAGGCCTGCCTGGTCTACAGACCTGGTCTACAGAGCAAGTTCCAGGATTGACTCCACACCTACTGAGAAACACTATCTTGGAGGGAAAAAAACACAAAAATGGGGAGGGGGCCTGGAGAGATGGCTCAGTCAGTAAGAGCACTGGCTGTTCCTGCAGAAGATCAGGGTTTGGTTCCCATCCTCCATGTGGTAGGTCACAACCATCCATAACTTCAGTTCCAGGGAAATCAGACACCCTCTTCTGGCATTACCTGTACCAGGCATGCACTGAGTACACATACATATGGCAGAAAAAACAATGATGCAAATAAGTATAAAAATAAATAAGGAAAAACTGTCCACACATAGCATAATGACTTTTTTCCCTATGTGTTTAAGATAGAACCCAGCTTTCATCTAAGTGCCCCACTGCTTAACTCCCAGCCAAACATATCAATTTTCACCTGAACAATTAGAGAGTAAGCTGTTAACAAGACATCTGTGGTGGACATTCAGACCACTGGCTAACTCTTTCTTTGAGAAAGAACTTGGTGCTCAGCTGTTGGGACTGTGGTTGCACATGGCTGTCAATCATTTCCTTCAGTGTTTGCCTAATCTGCAGAGAGCATCCTTGCCCAGGGAGATACACCTTTCCCCAATGACTCAAACCCATTGACAGTCAAAGCAAAACCAGAAAGAGTCAAGTACATTGGCCCCGCATGGGTCATGCCGGGTGCCTTTTCTGTATAAGTGCTCCCTGGTAGGGTTAGGGCAGGCCATCAGTCTGCATCTCATTTCAGCTCCTCCTTCTGCCCAGTCCTGTTTCCTTCCCCTCCTATCCACAGATGTTGATCCCAACCTCTCTCTCTAATAAATATCCTGAGCACTGAGTCTGTCTGAGTCTGCTTCCTGAAAAATCCTGCAACTGGAGCCAGGGGAGGTCTGAGAAGTCAGACGTCAGACAGGGTTTGGAGCTGGCCCATTCACCACTGGCAAGACAGACCACAGGAACCATGAGTGACAGATGGAGCACAGAGAGCCTTCAGCACAAGACAAGCAATTAAAATACTTTGAAAGTATCTTCTTGCTCACTTAAAAAAAAGATTTATTTGATTTTTAAGTGTGTGTGTGTGTGTGTGTGTGTGTGTGTGTGTGTGCGCGCGTGTACATCTGGGTCTGTGGGTATGTGCATATGAATGCTGGTGCCCATACAGGCCAGGTGTCAGGTCCCCCACCTGATGTGGGTGGGTGCTAGATATCAAACTCACTCGGGGCAAGCACTCTTAATCCCTAAACCATAACTTCAGCCTCCTCATTTTATTTTATTTTATTTTTTTTTAAGACAAGGTCTCAAGTAGTTCAGGCTAGCTTCAAGCTTCCTATGTAGCCAAGGTTAATCTTGAACTCCTGATCCTCCTGCCTCCACTTCCTGGGCACTGAGATTGTAGGCCTATATTACAACAACCAGCTTAAAAAGAATTTTTTTTTTCAACACAAAATGGAGGACTAGAGAGACAAAACAGACACAAGGACTCACAAAATGGCAGATATAAATCCCTCATGTAAAATGACTCAGCCAGGTGAGTCAGCCTTTGTCATCAACCACACCATGGCTGGCACAACAGATGCATGAGTTAAGTGACCCTGTGGCAGAATGAGACTCTTGAGAGCCCAGTAGCCCAGGTTCTCACTTCCCAGGACTTAACTACTTATTGCCTCTACTTGACAGCAAGAGAGGCCTGTGCAAGCCCTTGGTATGTCATCACACCCCCAAGAAACCATCTAGTGACAAAAGCTGGACACTTTGGAATCTTTCTTTGGTGAATGATTCATTCTAACAAGAATGGACAAGTATTTGGGTGAGTGTTTTGATTGTCTCATCCCTCAGGCATCACCCTGGGGTTCTGGAATATTCCATTAGCATAGAATCTCACAGAACATTGCATCAGACCAGGGGATTCAACTTGCAACAAAGAAGTGATGGTGGTGGTTATCTGACATGGAATCTGCTGTCTCTATTGCTCACCAGCTGCAACAGTGCCTGCTTGACTGCCTTACTCTGCAGAAATGGAATGCCATTTTCCAGGTTGCCTAAGGACACAGGACATCCGCCCCCCCCCCCGCCTTTTTTTCTTTAACTATGGTTCTGTGTCTCCAGCAGGAAGAATGTGTGGACCTGGGAAGCAAACTTGCTATCACTCCCCTGGGCCCCAGAACTACTACTACTGTTCCGATTCTGTAGGGCTACGGGACCTGGTTCCTATCATGGGACTCTTTCCACCAGGTGACGCAGCAGCAATCCCTTTGAATAACTAGTGCCTGAGCACTTTGTGTATCTGGTATCCAGAGACAAGGGGAACAGACTCCTTGAGATTATCCTCATCATCAGGATCCCACGTCCCCCATATCCAACAGCCGATCAAAGTATGGTTCTAGATTCAGACCTGGACCAGGGAAATGGCTCAGTTGGTAAGGTGCTTGCTTTCTGAGTTTGAGCTCAGAATCCACATTAAAAAGCCAAGTGTGACAGCATGTGCTTGTAACGGTGGAGAAAGGAGGATCTCATGGGACTCAGCAGCCAGCCTGGCCTACTTGGTGACCTCCATGCCAGTGAGAGACCCTATCTCAAAAAGCAGGATGGATGGCTCCTCAAGGACACACCTGAGGTTGTCCTCTAGCCTCCATGTGCACGTGGACACATGAGCATGTGAACTCACACACACCCAAACATGCACACACATAACACAATAAAAATGGGTCCCAGCACTTTCAGCCTGGTTGGGGGCACTCTGGTTCCAGGCTCCTCATGGGTCATTTAAGGCTGCCGGTCATCCTTCTAGCTTGTGTTTCCTTCCTCTACACTTGCTTCCTTCTCTTCCCTTCCCTTCCACAGGTGTCAATTTCAAAGGCACTCCCTAATAAACATCCTGGATGTTAAACAGTGACTCAGAGGCTTCTTCCTGTGGAGTCAAAGCTATGAAGACGCCCTGTTGCCCCTAGAACTGTAATGTGTTTTCCTCACTAATGAGAACACTCAGAGCATTTCAGCAAAATCGTCTAAATCAGGATTTAACAAGTTTGCCTCTGATCTCCAGACTCCACTGAAATTGGCAAAGATCTGGGTGGGAGGGAGAACTGTGGTTGGAATGCAAAATGAAATTTTAAAAAATTAAAGATGGAGAAAAAAATTGTCAAAGTTCTCAATAGTATCCTGTGTGTATGTGTGTGTGTGTGTGTGTGTGTGTGTGTGTGTGTGTGTGTGTGTGTGTGTGTGCATGTGTGTGCATTTGCAGGTCAGTACATAATTAACCTTAGGTGTCACCTTATTTTGAGACAGGGTCTCTCACTAATCTGGAACTCTCCAAATAGGGGAGCTGACTGGAGAGAGCGCCTTGGGGTCTCTGCCTCCCCAGCCCTGGGATTCTAAGTGGACACCACCATGCCAGACTTTTCCACATGGGCCCTGGGGAGCAAACTCATCCCCTCATGTTTGAAAGGCAAGCACTTCACTGACTGAGCTGTCCTTCTAGCTCCAATCATACCTTCTTCATAGTGAAATCACACCTATGTTTAGATGGCATGGCTCTCCAGTCTGTTGTTGTTGTTTTGGTGTGTGTGTGTGTTGTTGTTGTTTTAGTTATATGATTATTGATGTGTATATGTATGTGTACATGGAGTGCATAAGGATAACTCTGTGGAGTTAACGGCAGCCATCTTCTCCTTCCATCTCTGTGTGGGCTTTGAAGATTGCATTATGAGTGACATTATCCACTGAGCTATCTCACCAGCCCCTCCTGTCTTTTCCTACATTGAATAGTTTCTTAGTCATTCTTGCACTTTATATAATAATCACATATGCAGTGTTATGTAATACTCACATATGCAGCAGCCCAGGCTGGGTTCAGACTTCTTTCTGCCTCTACTTCCCAAGTGCCACGGTGTGTACCACCATAGTGGCTTTCCTTTGACTTTTCATGACTTAACAGTTTTCAAGACTATAGGACACTTCTTTTCGTAAAATGTTTTTGAATTTAAGCTTATCTTGCAACAGAGAATCTGTGAGGCGAGGTCTCTGGCAATGAACTCTACTGGCTGTGTCATCTACCACACCCCCACAATTGGCTCTGTGTCTGTTCAGGTGCCATGCTCTGCAGGCACGGATTGCTATCTTCCAGGGTACAGAAAGACAGAGTCAAAAACTGGAGTTTTATCCTAATTAGATTCAGCTCAGGCACCTTTGGCAAAACTACCAGAGAAGCCACTTCTCATTGCATCCTAGTGGGTGACACGTGACACCGATTTGTTTTATCACACATGTGGGTAACTGTGATCACTTGATTAGGTGGTGACTGCCAGGATTTCTCACTGTGAAATTACCTTTTTCCTTCATAATTAAGTGTTTTGTGGGGACATACATTAAAACTATGAGTAAATAATATAAACAGTAAATATCTACTCTTCCTCAGACCTTTGGGGTATTTACTCATTCCTTCATGTCTGCATTGGATGGAGGACTCCTGTTTCATTCAGTGAATTATAATCCATAACTTCATTAGTTTATTTTACTTTTTTGAGACAAGGTATCCCTACATAGTAGGCCAACTGTTCTGGAACTCTCTATGTATATCAGGTTGGCCTTGAACTCACAGAGATCCACCTTCTTCTACCTTTTGACTGATGGGATTAAAGATGTGAGCCAGCCACCATGCTTAACTTGTTTTATTTTCCAGAGTTTCCACTTTTAGCCAGTAGGAGCCTGTGCAAATTGGCCTCTTTATCCTTTAGCTGATCTTCATAGTGTCTTTTGTACTTCCTTGCTCACTGTGCAAGACACTCCAAGCTTACTCAGTATCTTCCATGCTTCAGCCCTTCAGCCATTCTCTTAGAAGCCAAGATCTGGGCCTTAAACAGGTTACTTACTCTTCTGACTGTTCTTGGGCTGTTGACACATACAGCTAGGGAATATAGGAAACATTCACATGAATGTACGTGTGTACTTATACATAACAATGTACACATTTATAGCTATAGTTATTTCTAGACTCATCTGTGTATATCCAAAGTAATATCACTCTTACCTCCAATTCCAGCTGAACTTGACGGGCTTCAGTCTTCTCATTTCCTATGTAAGCAATAACTATCTCTACTGGTGAAAAGCTCGGGTCCCCATGACTTATCTGATCAGTCATTCTGTGTTAACAACCTCCCCCGACAGCCTGTGAAATTGTGAAATATAGATTAGGCCTTTACAGAGAGATCCACAAACCTGTGTAATTTCCCGAGTAACAATGGCTGCTGGGAGAATTTTTTTTTTTCCTAATTTTGGTCATTGACCCTGACTCAAGAGATCTTCAGACCTGTATAATTTATTGAGTTACTGCCACATCTAACTCAGGGCCTCTAAGTTCTTGGAATTTCCTGAGCTAGGTGCATCCTCTGTTGTACCAAGACAACTCTTGACATGTTCCTGGAGAACCTCAAGATGGAGCTGGTTGCCCGGGGAACCAGCCATGTGATCAGATGGGGCAAGGGCTGTTGAAGGTGGATCTGAACATGAATTTCCAATACTGCTTCCTTTTAGTTTTTCTTTTTCTCCCTTGTCCCAAATTCTCCACTGGTGTCCCTTCCTTGTAGGGTTGCCCTCTCTCTCCCAGCAAAGTCACCCTCTTGACTTTAGCCTCCTTTTCAAGACCAATTTCCCACCCAAACTCTAGTCTACAATGGCCCTGAAACCTCCACTTTGCTTGGCTCCTGCCTCAGTTTGTTTTCTATTGCTGTAACAGTAGAACTGAGGTTGGACACTTTAAAGAAACAAGATATTTAATTAACTCACCGTTCTGGAGACTGATACTCTAAGATCAGATGGTTTCTGGCGAGGAACTCCTCGGCTACATCACACCATGCCAGATGGCGTCATGGCAGGAGTACAACACAGAGAGCAGCCAGGCAGCAGAGAGGCCTTTTTATAACAGCAGTTCGTCCTCTTGAAAACAAACTCCCCAATTCTTTCCAAGGGCAAAACCTCTGATGATTTAACAAGTGCCTTCAACTTAAGCTCTTAAAGGTCTCACACCTCCCAACATCACCCCACTGAGGACCAAGCTTTCCCCGAATAAAGACACACCCAAACCACAACAGCCCTGCACATGGTTTGATTTGTGGAAGAAGGGGAGGGAGGAGCAGAGAGGAAAGTAAAAGAAGTGACACACCATTAATCACTTTTCAAGTTTTATTTTTTTGGGGGACAAAGTCTCATGTAGTCTAGGCTGGCTTCCAACTTGCTACATAGCTGAGGATGACATTGAACCTCTGATTTTCTTGTCTCCACCTCTTGAGTGCTAGCATTGCAAGTGTGTACCATGCCTGGCTCATGCAGTGCTGGGGTTGAACCCAGGGACCTCCTGCATACCAGGTGAGCATTCTACCAACTAAGCCACATCCCCATTCTTCGGGTCCACTTGCATGATCTTGAGATTCAGCTCCATTTTGGCTTTTGCCTATATCTACTTGTTATCACATCTGTTAAATTTATATTTGCCAGGGGAGCCAATGCTGCCTGCCAATTTATTCTCTTAGTTTTCGTCTTTGTTCTTACGAGACAGGGCCTTGCTATGTAGCCCAGGCTAGCCTCCAACTCTTGGTGTTCCTCCTGCCTCGGTTTCCCAAGTGCTGCAATTACAATCACAGGCCACCATATCACTTCCACCCACTCTTTATGATGCCACAAAGTCTTTTAGCAGAGCCTCCATGGCTCATGCAGGGCAATAGATAACAGCTGACCCCTGAAATCCCCCTCTCACCATTTCTGTCAGCAGATGCATCCGGAAACAGACAGGGGCATGGGCAGCTGCTTTAACCACTTTGAGGCCTCCCCCTCCACCCCTCCTCCCTTCTGTTCTATTTCTCACTAGAATGTTTGTTATCTTTCTAGATTCTATTTGTGTGTGTGCATTCGTGAGTGTGTGTGTGTGTGTGTGTGTGTGTGTGTGTGTGTGTGTATGTGTGTGTGTCTTAGGATGGCACAGGTATGGAGGTCAGAGGATAACATTCAGGAGTTAGCTTTCTCCTTGCACCATATGGGTCTGGAGATCAAATGCAGTCAGGCTTGGCAGCAAGTTCATTTGTCTGAGCCATCTCTGCCCATAATTTGTGCTAGATTTTTCCCATGGGCAGGTATTTCAAATGTCCTACAGACAGGCAGGCCAGGATCACTTTTTCCTCATGTACACCCCAAGCTATCTGTGCCATGTTCACAGAGATTCTTCTCTCAGACCTGTCTTGCCATTGCACCTCCAAAGATCACAGCCCTGGCATCCTTAAAGGCACCCCACATGCTACCCAAAGCCTTGCCAGTTTTCCAAATTTGGGCCCTGATAGAAATTTAGGTATCTGTGACACATGCCCTTTTCTGTTTTACATTCTAGTTACCGCTCATAAGAAATAATAAGACAGGTGCTATGTCTTTCCCATGGCTTCACTCCCTGGAGACCTTGTAAGCAGTAGCAGTTAGACATATTTGTTACATTGAAACATCAAAAAAGTGTGTGTGTGTATATCTGAGACAGGGTCTCACTTCCAGGCTGTCCTGGAACTCTGTAGATCTGGCTGGCCTGAAAGTCATAGGCCTCCTTAGTGCTGCGATTAAAGGTATGTGCCACCATACCTGGCCAATAAAAGCCTATACATTTCTTACTGACACACTTAGGGAAGATACTTTTCCTCATCTGAAGGGCAAGAGAGTTAAAATGTTTGCCTTTATCTCCCAGGATCTGTGTTCCTACATAGGTAAAACCCACTCACACTGTAAATTCAGACTTGTCCATGTAAGTCCAATTTTTTATCTGGCCCAAATGGTATTCCATTCTAGCACTTTAAAGCTATGAAATATTGACATATTTTCATTTCCCAGAGAATATATTATTCATTACTTCCCTATTGCATAAAATCCTATTTTCATCTGCAGAGACATGGCCCCAATTCCTCACTCCTGGTAGGAATTACGTAATGACAGCAGGAGAGCAGCCTGCTTTCTTTGTGCTGGTCTTAGCCTGGAATCTCATAATCTGTTTCAAAGCAGGGCATTATGGAAAATCTGGCTGGGCTGCTCTGGCAGACATTTTCTGCATTTAACTATTTAGAGTGAGAAAAATCATTTGGTTATAGACTTTTGCCCAACAATGTCTTCTCTT